ATAGGCTGGGCATGGTGGCTCACACCTGCAATCCTAGCACTTTGGGAGGCCGAGGCAGGTGGATCACTTGAGGTCAGGAGTTTGAGACCAGGTTGACCACCATAAAACCCCATCTCTACTAAAAATACAAAAAAATTAGCTGGGCATGATGGCAGGTGCCTGTAATCTCAGCTACTGGGGAGGTTGAGACAGGAGAATTGCTTGAACCTGGGAGGCAGAGGTTGCAGTGTACTGAGATCACGCCACTGCACTCCAGCCTGGGTGACAAAGCGAGGCTCCATCTCAAAAATAAATAAATAATTTAAAAATACGTAATTTTTTAGTTAAAGTTTACCAGTTTCCTTTAATGTGGAACTTTCAAAGCTTTTCACATTAAAATTCACTTTGGGCCGGGTCCGGTGGCTCACGCCTTTAATCCTAGCACTTTGGGAGGCCGAGGTGGGTGGATCACCTGAGGTCAGGAGTTCAAGCCCAGCCTGGCTAACATGGTGGACCCTCATCTTTAAAAAAATAAAAATAAAAAATTCACTTTGAATGTTTATTGGGGTGGTAATATTGATAATATCCCATTGATAATTACTAGAAAACCTATTTTGACAGAACACAAGTTGGACAATTATACAATGAGATAATTTTAAAAATGTAAGATAAATGTATATCTCTAAAATATTTTTGATTAGCTGTGTTTAATTTTATGTTTCCTGGGAAGATTTTGTTTGAGCAAAAAGTGTTTACTGCTAAAAAGTTTAAATGTCACTGATATAAATGAACTAATTTCCTTTTTTAAACAGTTTATTAGAGCAAAAGAATTCTTTGAAAATACCAAGTTTTTATTTCAACAAGGATTTTGACAGCTTCACATAAGGTCCTTGTAAGTTGGAGAAATATGGGCAAAATGATAGTTCAGTGTGAGGGACTTTGCCTGAGCAGCCTTACCCAGAGAGGACTGACAAATAGATTGTTATCCTGGAAGACCATTTCCACTGATGACTGAAAGGGTTCTGTTCCTGGCATATCTTCCAATTAATGATACGGATGAGGACACTGATGGTGTACTGATTAAATTTGCAGATGATAATGAAGTTAGGGAGATAAATAATATGTTGAAATGGCAGGATCAGGATACCAAATGATCTTAGATTATGGAAAAGGAGGTTTTAGTCATTGGAATTACAATATGTAGTAGACTGAATGATGGAACAGTCCAAAAGGGAACTGAAATCTTAGATTGTATTGAAGTATAGCATTAGAATAGGAAGAGGAGGGTCATAATCCTGATCTGCTCCCCATTTCCCATTTTTTAAAAACCATACTATGTTTCATTCTGGGCACTGCTATAATATTTACTAAATCCAAGGTGATATGGAGGAAAGCAGCTAGAGCATGAAGAGAGTACTTGAAATATGAGGAAGTGTTAAAAAGGAACCCTAGTATTTAGCTTCAAAGAGAAGGTGGGAATAGTCATGTAAATTCAAGGAATGCTTTGACGAGGAGGGGTTAGATTTAGACCATGGTAATCCCAGGAGGTAGAACTAGATAGGACCAGTGAGTGGACATTAGAGGCAGATTCATCTCATTGTAAAGTGAATTACTGGAATTTTCTTAGCATAGGCTGCCTTGGAGATCATGAGAGTTTCTCAGTCATTCCCTTCCAGGGATATTTGTTGACAGGATACAAGCTAAAGGTTGAGTTAGATTGTCTAGGGTCCAGTAGCTCTACTGCATATAATATTCTTGGCACCACCATATCTCCCACCCCCACTACCATGAAATTTTGATAGGTTTTATGAATGCTTTAAACTTAAAAAATGAGCCAGGGGCAGTGGCTCACGCCTGTAATCCCAACACTTCGGGAGGCTGAGGCGGGCTGATCACAAGGTCAGGAGTTCAAGACCAGCATGGCCACATCGCCACCTATACAAAAACTACAAAAATTGGCCAGTCATGGTGTCACACGCCTGTGGTCCCAGCTACTTGGGAGGCTGAGGCAGGAGAATCACTTGAACCCGGGAGGCGGAGGTTGTAGTGAGCCAAGATTGCACCACTGCACTCCAGCCTGGGTGACAGAGCAAGGTTCTATCTCAAAAAAAAAAAAAAAGATTGAAAATTTTTTGGCCTAAATGGTAACCTGAAAACTTTGCCATAAAGTCAGAAATAAAAATGAGGGCTGAATGTGGTGGCATATGCTTGTTATCCCAGCACTTTGAGAGGCTGAGGGAGGATCACTTTAGGCTAGGAGTTCAAGACCAGCCTAGGAAACAGCATGACTTGGTCTCTACGAAAAATGATAATAATTAATTAACTGGCTGTTATGACACACACCTGTAGTCTCAACTCCCCAGGAGTCTGAGGTGGGAGAATTGCTTGAATCCAGGAGTTTGAGGCTATAGTGAGCTGTGATCACACCACTGCACTCCAGCCTGGGTGACAGAGCATACCTTGTCTAGAAAAAAAAAATAATATATGTATTGCATTTTAGTGAAATGAACAAGAAAATAAAGACAGCCTTTCTAAATGATATTAGAACCAGTACTCTTAAGACTTACATATTTTGAAAGAATTATATCCAAATAAGAGTTAATTATGTGTTCAAAATTACAGTGGTATTCTGGGTGGGACAAGTTAATACTTATAAATAACAATAGCTATTATTGATATTTATATACCTTGCATAAATGTTCTTAAATATTCTCAACACTCTTGAGAGGGATTGATTTTCCTCTTTTCCAGATGAGATTGAAGTTCAGTGAGGGGAAGTAACTTGCTTGAGGATATACAGCTTGTAAGAGTCAGGATTCAAATTCAAAAATCTGTGTTTTTAAACTCTATGCTGTATTGAAATTTTATGCTGTCCTCCAGTTCTAGTTATTGATACTCATTTGACACTGAAGAGTTAATTTAGCTTTGGCATTTAACTTACTACAATCATGTGTCACATAGCAGGGATACATTCTCAGAACTGCATTTTTAGGTGATTTGCAAATCTTATAGCATGTATTTCCACAAACCCAGGTGGTACAGTCTTCTGCACACCCAGCCTATATGGTACAGCCTATTGCTCCTAGATTGCAAACTTCTATAGCATGTTACTGTACTGAATACAGTACTGTAGATAACTGTAATACAATGGTAGATATTTATATATCTAAACAGAAAAATACAGTAAAAATATGGTATAATAATCTCATGAGACCATTGTTACATATGCAGTTCACCGTAATGCCATTATGCAGCACATGACCGTATTTTGAGGAAATTAGAATGTTTCTTTGTTTTTACCTAGAAATAGAACCCCCTTTTCCCTGGGACTTAAATATTCTTAAGTGCTGGATTTCTGTCCTGTCATCTCATTAGGAACAAATTCATCAAAAATATATTTCAACCCTAGACAAAGCAAGTCTCTAAATGGTGGAAAGTCTCACCCTGTCCCCTAAACTGGAGAGCAGTAGCACAGTCTCAGCTCACTGCAGCCTCCATCTCCTGGGTTCAAGCGGTTCAAGCGATTCTTGTGCCCCAGTCTCCCAAGTATCTGGGATTGCAGGTGACCACTACCTCGCCCTGCTAATTTTAAGCTGTTTATATTACCAAAGATGCTATATTATTAGGAAAATTAACTTTAAGTATAACTATTAATTCCATCTACATTGAGGGATCTGGAGTAGTTGAATTCACAGACAGAAAGTAGAGTAGGGGTGGCCAGGGGCTGGAAGAGTGGCGATGAGCAACTGTTGTTTAATGGATTTAGTTTCAGTTTTGCAGGATTGAATTCTTTACACCAATGTCAAGTACTTACAGTACTGAACTATACACTCAAAAATGGTTAAGATGGTAAATTTTATGCTAAGCATATTTTATTAATAAAAATATATTTTCTTTCTTAAAACTACGACTATGAAAAAATCCAGTATTTTCAGGCTAACATGGAAATGTCTGCCATGTTAGCCACGTGATTTTTAAACACAAATGCCCTGAAAAATAGTATGATGATCATAATGCTTAGTAATAACCTTGTTTATCAAGTATACATATATTTGTGTATCTGTGTAAAATAACATTTACAATGATGGCTTATAAATAATGGTATCTGAATATAATGAATATATAGGTACATGGTGATTTGGCTTATTTTGCTATTTTATGTAGACTTATTTTGAGAGATGGGAGATGTTTTGAATTATCACTGAGATGAGCAGTAGGAGAATTATAGTTTGACAGACTTATGGTTTAAGCTATGCTTTCTTGTAACGAATATGAAGTACGTTGACTTAAGTGGGGGCCCTTAAAAAATAATTTTCGGGCCGGGCGCGGTGGCTCAAGCCTGTAATCCCAGCACTTTGGGAGGCCGAGGCGGGTGGATCACGAGGTCGAGAGATCGAGACCATCCTGGTCAACATGGTGAAACCCCGTCTCTACTAAAAGTGCAAAAAATTAGCTGGGCATGGTGGCACGTGCCTGTAATCCCAGCTACTCAGGAGGCAGGAGAATTGCCTGACCCCAGGAGGCGGAGGTTGCGGTGAGCCGAGATCGCACCATTGCACTCCAGCCTGGGTAACAAGAGCGAAACTCCGTCTCAAAAAAAAAATAATAATAATAATTTTCGGCTGGGTACAGTAGCTCATGCCTGTAATCCAGCACTTTGGGAACCTGAGGCAGGATGATGGCCTGAGCTCAGGAGTTTGAGACCAGCCTGAGCAACATAGGGAGACACTGTTTCTACAAAAAATTAAAATAAATAGCCAGCATGCGTCTGTAGTTCCAGCTACTTGGGAGGCTGAGGCAGGAGGATTACTTGGGCCCAGTAGGTCAAGACTGTAGTGAGCCATGATTGTGTCACTGCTTTTCAGCCTAGGCAACAGAGTGAGACCCTGGCTCAAAAAATTAATTAATTAATTAATTTTCAAAGAGCTAGTTTAGTTCTATTTATAAAAGAGAAATGTGTTCTGATGTCTTCAAAAATCTTACAGTTTTATGATTTTAATTAGAGTCTCTTCTTTCTACAGAAATAGGAAGGTTGTTGATTACTCACAGTTTCAGGAATCTGATGATGCAGGTAAGTTTTGTGGTGTCAACAAATTTTAAGTTGGACTGACCCGTGGAGGTTACTTTATCATGCTTTTGGAATAAGTTTTACTTTTTTATTTTCAGAGTATTTACCGAAACTGTGTCATGATCTACATCAACCAAAGCAAAAGTTGAACTTACATGGATTTTAACTTTTCCTTCATTGATAATAAACATTAAACAATTTTTTTCTTACCTGGTTTTGGAGTCCAAAGTTTAAATGTCCAGTAATTCTGATGTAGTTCATTACTTAAAATACCTTCGGCTGGGCGTAGTGGCTTACGCCTATAATCTAAGCACTTTGGGAGGCTGAGGAGGGCAGACCACTTGAGGTCAGGAGTTCCAGACCAGCCTGGGCAACATGGTGAAACCCATCTCTACTAAAAATACAAAAATTAGCCAGGCGTGGTGGTATGCGCCTGTAATCCCAGCTGCTCGGGAGGCTGAGGCAGGAGAATCACTTGAGCCCAGAAAAACAGTCTACTACAGGGCAGGTGCAGTGGCTGACACCTGTGATCTCAGCACTTTGGGGGCAAAAAAAAATCTCCTGTTAATACAATAAAACTTGTGCTTTGTGATATGTTTTTACATAATAATGCAACTAAGGTGACAGTCTGTTTTGTGAAACAATTTTGATTTGTGAACTGATCCGTCATAGAATGAGTGTTGTAGCTAATTCTTAACCATAAGAGATTTTTTTAGAGTTGTCTCCTTAATCTCATTACTTTCCAGATACGTTTACTGTTTTTTCTTCTTTCTTTCTTTGTAATCTAACTTTTCTTTATAAAGACAATATCTGCCCTTTGAGAAGACTTAAAAAATACTGAAAGGTATAATAAAGAAGAGTAAAAAAAGTAATATGTAGCACTAATATTTATAAAATGCTTGCTACATGTCAGGAATTGTTTCAAATGTTTGTATTTAACAGTTCCTTAGAATCATTCGTTAATATGGAATGTACTATTACTATTTCTGTTTTGAGTATTTTTCTTATGCTATTAAAAGATATTTGAAAAATTCCTATCAATGGTCATATACTATCCCATAATGGAATTTATAATGTTTCTAACCCACCATTTAAGAACATCGTGTGTGTGTGTGTGTGTGTGTGTGTGTGTGTGTGTGTGTGTACACATAAATGGTGCAGTAAACAGCTTTGGAAATAATTTCCTTTTAAAATAGAGTCATTTTCGTTAGTTTTATAGGGCTTTTGAAATTGGAGATACTTTCTTCAAAGGCAAGAGTGTGTTATATTTAATACTTTAAAAGTAATTTGCTTAGTAATAGTAATTGTGTTTACTTCCTAAAATGTTTGTAATATAATCATAATCTGATTGTTTTCAACTAAGTGTGAAGATGTTGAAATCAAAAGGGGAGGGTATAAAATGATAGAAGGTTAGCTATAGATAGATGAAAAATACATATATATACATGAGGACTAGAGGGTAATATGGAAAAATGAAATTAATGTGATAGGACTGGGTGGGAAATAATTGTAGTTATTTTAAAAATGAAAGAAACTATTTGGGAAATCCTGCTCCTCTCACCATTTAAACAGCATGAGAGATAATTATGTCAGTAAATATAGTGGTGATTTTAACATGTAAAAATCATAGTTAATTAAATTTGAAAAACACTGTTTAGATGAAGATTATGGAAGAGATTCGGGCCCTCCCACTAAGAAAATTCGATCATCTCCCCGAGAAGCTAAAAATAAGAGGCGATCTGGAAAGAATTCACAGGAAGATAGGTAAGAGGCATTGTTTTTCTGTTCCTACTTACATTGTCACCACTCTGAGATGAGAGCAGTCTCTGATCTCTAAATAATTGAAATCTCATATACTTTTGAAAAGTACTTACTCTTCCCTTAATATTTTGCATATTTCATATTATCTCAGGCTGTGCTTGAGGATGTAATTCGTTAGTTATCTAAGGTTAATATTGATACTTTCATTGTAGTGATAACAAAGAATAAGTGATACATCCCATTCAGTCACAGATCACTGGCACAAGTATAACTAAAGCTTGCAGACTGTCAAGTCGTGTAGCCTGTCGCATTTTGCTGTCTCATCATCAAGTCTCCCTTGTTTAAATAATTTAACCATTTTGCAAGTTTCTTTTCCCTTAGTTTTTACAAATGAGTTATGATTTTTAACTGTAATTTTGTCTTATAAGACCAGGATATTAGATGGACACCATGGCTCATGCTTGTAATCCAGGACTTTGGGAGGCCTAGGTAGGACGATTGCTTGAGCAGGAGTTTGAGACCAGCCTGGGCAACATAGGGAGACCACGTCTCTACACAAAAATTTAAAAATTGGCTGAGAATGGTGACACGTGCCTGTAGTCCCAGCTACTCAGGAGCCCATGGCAGGAGGATCCTTTGAGCCCAGGAATTCAATACTGCAGTGAGCTGTGATTACACCATTGCACTACAGCCTAGTTGACAGAGCCAAGACCCTGTCTGGGGGAATGGAGGGAAGACCAGAATATTGTAATTTCTGCCCTGTTGTTAAAAGTATACATGTTGTCACACTCAGTGTAGCACAACTTTAAGACGTTCTTGGTAATAATGGTGATGAGAGTAATGATGATGGCTACTGTTTATGATTATTATGTGACAATTTCTATTATGTGCTTTTCATAAACTGTCATTTAATTCTTACAACTTCTCTATTTGGATGCATAATATTAACTTAGAGGGGTTCTGTGATGTAACAAAAATTATCCAGCAAATGGACAGACAGGTTTTTAAACCATGTCTGTTGGACTCCAAAGTTGACAACCTCTTGTGCTTTTTCTGCATTTTCAGAATGTGCTTTTGAAGAAAAATAATACAGAATTATACTGTTGGGAAACAAGTCTTCAAGAGTTTCTGCTATGGCCATGTGCTGGTATATGTCTAACCTAGTTGTTGTTTGTTTTTAATAGAGATGGGTGCACGCCACGTTGCCCAGTCTGGTCTCAAACTCCTGGGCTCAAGTGATCCTCCCATCTCAGTGTCCCAAAGTGCAGGGATTACAGGTGCGAGCCACCATGCCTGGCCTAAAACAGTTTTGATTTGTTTTTGTTTTGTTTTGAGATGGAGTCTCACCCTGTCACCCAGGCTTGAGTGCAGTGGCACTCAGCTCGTTGCAGCCTCCACCTCCAGGGTTCAAGCAGTTCTCCCGCCTCAGCCCCCAAGTCGCTGGGACTATAGGCGCATGCCACCACACCCGGCTTATTTTTGTATTTTTAGTAGAGACGGGGTTTCACTGTGTTGGCCAGGCTGCTCTCAAACTCCTGGCCTCTTCATCCACCCGCCTCAGCCTCCCAAAATGTGTGAGCCACCGTGCCCAGCCAAACAGTTTTGTATGGCAGCCCAACTCAAAACTATTTTTTATTATATTTATTTTCATTATCATATTTCTCCTAGGAAAGAGCTGCTTTGTGGCATGTTATAATATCTCATTGCCATAATTAACATCTAGCTTACAGTTTTTCTTGTTGCAGTCATTTGATTTTATTATTCCAAGTGTTGGAAGGATTGAAATAAATACAGGTTTTTTTGCTATCTGTATGCCTTGTGTATTTATTCCCAGACTAGTGCTCTGTTGATTTTTTTGTTTTCAGAGTTCAGCCTTCACTTGACTTTGCTGTAGTGGTACTCAAAGATTAACATAGTTTATAAACTCAATAAAAGAACTAGAAAAAATAATATAATCATCATCGTGTTAGAATTATGAACTTGGTGCTTATTTTGCATAAGAAACATTTATACAGAATAGTCACAGGTTTCAGAATTATAAAGTGTCTTGGACTCAGGTTGCTTAGTAAAAGAATATGTTTGGTCATTCTCTTTGGTTAGATACCATTAGTTCAGTAATTTCTGATGTGAGTGTGGTCTAGATTATGGGGAATACCGAAAGTGATTTATAAGACCTGCTATTTGAGAAAGGAAAACTTTGAATGCAGTTTTTATGTGCAAGTTTTTGGTTTTGGTTCTTCAGAATTTTTCATGAAATCATAAAATTTTAGTACTGAAGAAAGAATACCAAGTGATTTGCTTAAGATCATACAGCTAACTAATGACAAAGAGATAGACTACTGGGGGCTGGGTATGGTGGCTCATGCCTGTAATCCCAACACTTTGAGAAGCCAGGACAGGTGGATCTCTTGAGCTCAGGAGTTTGACACCAGCCTGGGCAACATGGTGAAACCCCATCTCAATTTTTAAAAATATGTAAACTAACAAAGAGAGACGGGATACTAGTATCCAGATTCCAGAGTTAAGAGTTATGAGGACATAATATGAACTTTGAACCTCCTTAACATCTTACGTTGCTTTGCAGAGTGATTTTGAGCTCACTTTTATTTTCTCCATGGTACCAGGCAGGACTATATGTTGATGTTTCTGATGCAAAGAAATATTGGGAGGAAATATTAATAGGGGATAATTAAATCAATTTATTTTCCATTTGGTTTTAGGTAAATTTTTAGGCATATTATAAATTACAACATAACTGAACTATAATTCCTTTTGTTTGAGACAGAGTCTCACTCTGTCAGCCAGGCTGGAGTGCAATGGTGCGATCTCAGCTCACTGCAACCTCCGCCTCCCAGGTTCAAGTGGTACTCCTGCCTCAGCCTCCTGAGTAGCTGGGATTACAAGCATGTTTCACCATGCCTGGCTAATATTTGTATTCTTGAAGTAGAGATAGAGTCACCATGTTGGCCAGGCTGGTCTCAAACTCCTGGCCTCAAGCAGTCTGCCCACCTCAGCCACCCAAAGTGCTGAGATTACAGGTTACAGGTGTGAGCCACTGTGCCCAGTCTGCAGTTTCTTTTAATAATTTTAGATACTTTAGCAGTTTTTCGCATGCATATTTAGTGATCTTTATTTGCCATCATTAACACTATATAATTTATTTTTAGTATTTTTATACTCTGCCTCTGTTCGAGAATATTTTTCTTATTAAATATTATTGTGAACCAAGCTGTATCCATAGGTGAAAAAATTCCAGCCTGTGGTGAGACACCTTCTTTTTTGTCTTTGGATCTTTGGAAGCAGTGTTTTGCCAAGTAGATAAAATTGTGCTTACTTACCAGCATCCTTGTAATGTAAGGAAATAATGGAAGCAGTTTTACTCCTTAGCATTTGTTTGAACATTTTATATAGAAGAGGTATTTTTCAATTCTTCTCAAGTCAGAAATAAGAGATCTATGTTCATTTAGATTTTGAGCTAAGACTTTAAAACGTTTGCTTTTTTGCCTCCTTTTATAGTGAGGACTCAGAAGAAAAAGATGTGAAGACCAAGAAGGATGATTCTCACTCAGCAGGTAGTAAACTATTTTAAATGTAAGAGGTATAATTCGATTTATATATTATTTTATTAGACATTTTAATAAGTGATTTTCTATGCCAGGCACTGTTGCAAATCTGGAATTACAAAGACGTTTCCATCTTCAAAGAGCTTGTAATTATTCTCAGTCCTGGTGGCTTATTATAGTCATCTATGAATCTTTTTTAAAATGCATATTCCGGGTCCTGTCTCAAAATTTCGGATTAAATAGATCTAGGTGGGATGTTGGGGCTTGACTTTCTTTAAGTATCTCCACATTATTCTTATGCGTGGTCAGTATTGGAAATGATTTACATAAGCAAACGACATCAAACCAAATTGAATAATGTGTAAATATAAAACTTGGGGGCTGGACACATGGCTCATGCCTGTAATCCAGCACTTTGGGAGGCTAAGGCGGGTGGATCACCTGAGGTCGGGAGTTTGAGACCAGCCTGACCAACATGGAGAAACCCCATCTCTCGTTAAAAAAAAAAAAAAAATACCAAAGTAGCAGAGCGTAGTAGCACATGCCTGTAATCCAGCTACTCGGGAGGCTGAGGCAGGAGAATCTCTTGAACCCAGGAGTTAAAGATTTCAGTGAGCCGAGTTTGTGTCATTATACTCCAGCCTGGGCAACAAGAGCAAAACTCCATCTCAAAAAAAAAACACTTGGTAAAACAGGAACATAAAAAAAGAGAGTGGTGGACTCTAGGTGGAAAAGCAAATGAAAGTTTTATTCCCACTCTTTTTAGCTGAGACATAGTCTTTTGAAACAGTGGCCATAGAGAAGCTTTTTTTGTAAAAATGTTAACTTAAAAGAATTAATGTGAACTAATGAGGAGTCTCCATGGCCAAAAGAAATGATCGGTCTGATGATTCTACTTGTTGTTATTTATTTTTAAATTTAATTCTTCTAAGAATTGAGAGTTTTAATCCATATTACTTCCAGCCACGTTAGTTTTGACCTACATTTTCTTGCTGTTTCCCTGGATCTCCCTTTAAATGAGACTGCTGTTTAACTAATATAGAGGGGAGATAAAAAGTTCTGCTGAATGCACTCTGCCTAGCTGTTCTTACTTTCTCTCCTATTGAAGTATACTATCCGGCTACCTAAGTTGAAAAGAAACTATATGAATCTTTTGCACTATCTAGTGATCCTGTGATAATACAGTATATGCTTTCACTCGTTTGCCTTGTTAATCCTAATTTGAATCTCTTACACTTAATAGTTTATTGAGCATTTCTAGGTAAATAACTCTGTACTAGTATTAAGCTAAGCGTCTACCAAGTGGGTTTAGTTTTAGGTCTGCCATGACAGCTTTGTTTTGTTTGTCTCTAGATGAGGTTTTTGAAAGTGAAAGAGATGACTTGAATACTGACCTGGTAAGGTTCATAGGACTAGGAGTATTTTCAGCAGAAGTACCACTTTAACAGAATAACAGATTTTAAAACTTCAGGAAAAGGGCTGTAGGTAGAGACTAATTCAAATATGGCTTAGTCTAGAGGTAGTAGGCTGGCATCCTACCCTTTAACCAAATTTATTCACAAACTGTGTGTTAAAAAAAATTTTTTTGGCAGGGCATGGTGGCTTACACCTGCAATCCCAGCACTTTGGGAGGCCGAGACGGGCAGATCACGCAGTCAGGAGCTCAAGACCATCCTGGCTAACATGATGAAACCCCTTCTCTACTAAAAATACAAAAAATTAGCCAGTCATGGTGGCATGTGCCTGTAGTCCCAGCTACTCAGGAGGCTGAGGCAGGAGAATTGCTTGAACCTGGGAGGCAGAGGTTGCAGTAAGCCATGATTGTGCCCCTGCACTCCAGCCTGGCAACAGAGAGAGACTCTGTCTCGAAAAGAAAATAGAAAATTAGCTGGGCATGATGGCACATGCCTGTAATCCCAGCTACTCAGGAGGCTGAGGCAGGAGAATCACTTGAACCTGGGACGCAGAGGTTGCAGTGAGCTGCGATCACACCATTGCACTCCAGCCTGGGCAACAAGAGCAAAACTCCGTCTCAAAAAACAAAACCAAAAAAATCTGTTTTTTTAGACTGGGCACAGTGGCTCACACCTGTAATCTCAGCACTTTGGGAGGCCAAGGCAGGTGGATCACTTGAGGTCAAGGGTTCAAAACCATCCTGGCCAACATGCAAAACCCTATCTCTATCAAAAATACAAAAATTAGGCTGAGTGCGCTGGCTTATGCCTGTAATCCCAGCACTTTGGGAGGCCAAGGCAGGTGGATCACCTGAGGCCAGGAGTTTGAGACCAGACTGGCCATTATGGCAAAACCCTTTCTCTACTGAAGATACAGAAAATTAGCCAGGCATGGTGGTGGTTGCCTGTGATCCCAGCTACTCAAGAGGCTGAGGCAGGAGAATCGCTTGAACCTGGGAGGCAGAGGTTGCAGTGAGCCGAGATCCCACCATTGTACTCCAGCCTGAGCAACAAGAGCAAAACTCAATCTCAAAAAAAACAGCCAAACAAACAACAAGAAATTAGCCAGGCATGGCAGCACATGCCTGTAGTCCCAGCTACTCAGAAGGCTGGGGTAGGAGAATAGCTTGAACCTGGGAGGCAGAGGCTGCTGTGAGCCAAGATTGTGCTACTGCACTCCAATCTGGGCAACAGTATGAAATTCTGTCTTAAAAAAACAAAAAAATTTTTTTTAAATAATAGACTCTTAAGAATATGTGAAAGTAAGTTTTTTACAGGCTTGTCCAAACATCTTTCACTAATTGATCTAAGTATGGTTTTTTGGTGGTTTTTTTTTTTTTTGAGACGGAGTTTTGCTCTTGTTGCCCAGGCTGGAGTGCAGTGGTGTGATCTCGGCTCACTGCAACCGCCACCTCCCAGGTTCAAGCGATTCTCCTGCCTCAGCCTCCCGAGTAGCTGAGATTACAGGCATGTGCCACCATGCCTGGCTAATTTTTGTATTTTTAATAAAGATGAGGTTTCTCCATGTTGGTCAGGCTGGTCTCAAACTCCGGACCTCAGGTGATCTGCCCACTTTGTCCTTCCAAAATACTGCAATTACAGGCATGAGCCACCATGCCCGGCCCTAAATATGTATTTTTAAAGATTTTTCTCAATCCCCTCTAAATTGAAATGGTCACAAGCCATTCATTGTAAAGGGTAACAGTTTGACATTATTTTAGGGTTTACATGTTTTATGTCTTAGATTAAAGATTGAGAGACATTCTTTCCCTCTCAAACCATGTTAAGATATTTTTCTAACTTTAGCTTTCAAAAACAGTGAACATAGATTTGAATGTAATTGAGAATTTTAGAGCAAAGTAATGATGTAACTAAAGTATAGGAAGCATGTGTTCACACTTTAATTCAGCTTGGCTACTGCTTAAAATTACACACCTGTGTTACTTTATATGTAATAGTGGGTACATAGTCTTGTTCAGGTTCATTCTTTGTGAATTTAGGTCCCCCTTTATACATTTCCTAGAATTTTTTTTTAATTTTTATTTTAAGTTCCAGGGCACATGTGCAGGATGTACAGTTTTGTTACATAGGTAAATGTGTGCCACTGCAATTTGCTGCACCCATCATCTAGGTGTTAAGTCCAGCATGCATTAGCTATTTTTCCTAATGTTGTCCTTCTCCATCTCCCCACCCTGCCCCCTCCCTTACCAAAGGTCCCATTGTGTGTTGTTCCCCTTCCTGTGTCCAAGTGTTTTCATTGTTCAGCTCCCACTTGTAAGTGAGAATGTGCAGTGTTTGGCCTTTTGTGCCTGTGTTAGTTTGCTGAGGATAATGACTTCCAGCTCCATCCATGTCCCTGCAAAGGACATAATCTCCTTTCCTTTTTTATGGCTGCATAGTACTCCATGGCGAATATGTACCACAATTTCTTTATCCAGTCTATCATTAATGGGCATAGGTTGATTCCATCATTTTGTAGAACTGTTGAAGGATAGAATTTGCCGTTTTACAATGAAACAAAGCTGCATATTATATCCTATATTGGCCACTCCATTGGCTTTTTTTTTTTTTTTTTTTTTTTTTTGAGACAGAGTCTTTGTCGCCCAGGCTGGAGTGCAGTAGCAAAATCTCGGCTCACTACAACCTCTGCCTGCCCAGTTCAAGCCATTCTCCTGCCTCAGCCTCCCAAGTAGCTAGGACTACAGGCACACACCACTACACTCAGCTAATTTTTTGCGTTTTTAGTAGAGACAGAGTTTCACCATGTTAGCCAGAATAGTCTCGATCTCCTGACCTTGTGATCCGCCTTGTCTTGGCTTCCCAAAGTGCTGGGAATACAGCGTGAGCCACCGCACCTGGCCCTGTTATTTACATTTTCAGTCAATTATTAATCTTTTGCACCATCTAGTCAAATATAAAAGTCTTTAGTCATTGTATCATGATAATTCTGATATTGCAGAGGATAGTGAAGATGAAAAAGAAGATCATAAAAATGTGCGCCAGCAACGGCAGGCAGCATCTAAAGCAGCTTCCAAACAGAGGGAGATGCTCATGGAAGATGTGGGCAGTGAGGAAGAACAAGAAGAGGAAGATGAGGCACCGTTCCAGGAGAGTATGTGAAGTTGGTTTGTGTAGTTTGGTTGTTTGGTCATGATTGTAGTTTCGGATCTTGGTTACTTTGGCATTTTCTAGGATACTAAATGTTACAGCCAGTCCCTTAGATTGGGTGGATACTCCCTGTTAAAAGAGATGACTGTGTTGGTGCCTGTTAATATTTTAAAAGGTTCAGAGATTTTTATGATTGCCTACCGTTTGTAATCTTTGCACACTATTTAATGATGTTTGTGTTCAAACATTGAATGAACATTTGCTTAAGTAATAATCACATTAGGCGTTGTGATTGAGATTTGTATTTTGGCCTGGTGGAGGAGGTTGCAGACCTCTTTTCACAGAAAAAAAAATGTTAATCACAAAATTTAGATGTTTCACAGTTTATTCAGATTTGTTAATTGTGTGTATTTTTGTTTCACGTTGGGTTTTCTTGTTTCACTTACTCATAATTGGACCAAAAAGGCCCTGTCAGTTTCCCTAGTCTCAACCAGTACTACATGGAAGTGATGGAACTACCAAAAGTTATTTGATGGTTTCAGTTTTTATTCAGGTTAACTCCTACTCTTCCTGTTTTCAACCTGCTTTTCAAACACATCACTCATGTAGCTCTCTCATGGCATGCAAAATCCATTTGACAAATGAAGCCGGTGATGATTCCAGTCAAATCGGTAGTACAGCTCCAAATAGAATCCAAGGGTGTTTGACTCCCAAATCCCACCCTGTAGTCATTCTTAGTACTGTCTTCTTTTGTTCACTTGGAAGAATGTGTACATTAAGTTAGATGTTGAAATTCTTCTTTCTTCTCAGAAGATTCCGGCAGCGATGAAGATTTCCTGATGGAAGATGATGATGATAGTGACTATGGCAGTTCAAAAAAGAAAAACAAAAAAATGGTTAAGAAGTCCAAACCTGAGAGAAAAGAAAAGAAAATGCCTAAACCCAGGCTAAAGGCTACAGGTAAGTTCTGCAGAGGTGAAATTAAATGTACTGCTTTAAAAATTTTGAGAACCATTACTTTCGATACAGAAATTCTTCATTAGGATTTGGCATTGGCCTGATGTTTAGCAGGAATACAAAAAATCTAAAAGGGTCTTGTATTCTGGAGCTGGAAGCATCTCTTATTAATAAAGACACTAGCCTGTTTAAGAGTTTGGTGGGCCTAGGCATGTTCTTCAATTATTGCCATATTTTAGCAAGATTTCAGAATGATCTATTTGTTTCAGGCATAGTGGTAGAAACACTGAATCATCATAGCTATTACTGCTCTTTTTTCCTCACTGGTATCACAGTCTCAGCAGCCAGAAAAGACTTAATTGTGAAAATGCAGAAATCTAGAGTAATACGTTTAAGTTCCATGTTCTGATCTCTACCCCATCCTCTGTGCTATCGGAATAAAACCACGCTTGATGACATGAGTTAATTTTTTTCTGAGCCCTAATGGTTTCTGCCAAATATTCTCCTAGTTGGAGCTAGGAGAAATTGATTTGCTTTTTGTGTAGGTGGTTTTATTCTGTTACATACAACGAGTCATTGTTAAACTTTAGTTTATCACTTCTTACTGTTAGGAATGATGGAACTATCAGATGTATTTGATGGCTTCAGTTTCTAATCAGATTAATTCTTATCCTTCCCACTTTTTTACCAGCTTTTTATAAACAACTTTTATCATAAACAACTGCTTCACAAACAATGAAGGATGTTGTGCGTATTCTGTAGCATGGCGTTCCTTCATTACAGGTTATTACTGCTAACATCGTATTAGAGTGTTGGTAAAGACTGATGGGAAATACTGCAGCATATTGCAGTAACTTGTCTAGAAATTGAGATAAATTTACCTAGGGATATATGCATACCCTTGGGCCCACCTTGGTTTTTAGTAAGTTGCATATGTCTTTATAGATTTTGTTCTTACAGATTCTTTTATTTTGTAGCTGATTTTTATTAAAGACATTTTTTTCTTCCCTTCCCCACGTTATTTTTCTACTTTCAGTGACGCCAAGTCCAGTGAAAGGCAAAGGGAAAGTGGGTCGCCCCACAGCTTCAAAGGCATCAAAGGAAAAGACTCCTTCTCCCAAAGAAGAAGACGAGGAACCGGAAAGCCCGCCGGAAAAGAAAACATCTACAAGCCCCCCACCTGAGAAATCTGGGGATGAAGGGTCTGAAGATGAAGCCCCGTCTGGGGAGGATTAAAAGTGATGATGGTCTGGGGAGAGATTTTATTAAAAAAAAAAAAGAAAAAAAAAAGAAAAAGGAGGGAAAAAAAGAACGTGCTTATGATAGAACATGGTTTTGGCTATGGCTTGACTCATGGATTTTCAGTGCTTTTTTCCATTTGTTGAAAGTAACATTTCTCTCTCTTTTTTTTTTTTTTTTTTTTTTTTAAAAAGCAAACCATTGTATGTTTAAGTGTTTAAGTTACCTTTTTGTTTATTGGTCTCTTTGCCAACCCTCCCCTTTCCCAATGAAAGCCATGTCAAATTAATCACTGGATTGACTGCTTCATCTTTTTATTTTTAATGAAAGGTGTACCACAGTTGTAAAGCAATAAGATTTGAGATGAACATTATGGAAAATTTGCTCTTTGATAAATGATAGCAAGTTGAATAGTAATCAAAAACACAGCAAGATTTTAGTTCAAAATGATTACTCCTTTCGCTACCTGGACTTTTAAAAAAATCAATTGTTATCTAATACAAGTTTATTTGTCTGTAGACACAAATATCAATGTCTAAAAAATCATGTACTTTAAACTTCCACTAATGAGGCAGATAAGAGATAAATATGAATTCTGAACTGTTACTAAAAGTACTCATTTTTTACCTTGTGGGGAGGGTGGGCAATAGCATTATCTGACCTTATTTGAGGGTATGGGCTTTCTTTTTGATTTCATCACTTGTTATCTCAAAAAGACTCGGAGCCAGTGATCCTGTTATCCTGCTACAGTCTTTAGGGAGTTTAAAAAAAAAAAAAGCAGGGCTGCCAAAACTGAAATCACTCTTGATTTCATATTTCCTTCTCTAAATATATATGTATCCTGTTTTTTGGATAAAATTTTACCAAGGATCCAAAAAAAAAAACCACCCTAGAATTTAATTGACAAGATCAGTCTACACGTCACAGTGGCTTTCTTCTCAAACTGACAATGTTTAGGTTTTAAGCAAATAAAATTCCAGTTAATGCAAAACTCAGTCATAAAGAGTTGAGATTTTTTCCTTTATGAAATAGAATTAACATTCTTTTATGCTATAAATGTGCTTTCAGGTCCCATGAACCCTGCTCTCCTTTCATTTGGAGACAGAACGTTTTCTTTTTCATATCCCGATCTTCCTATTTCTTCATAGAAACGTGATATGAATGCATCCCTGTGATCCTGCTGCTTCGTAGGGCACCACTGCACACCCTACCCCCAGTGCCGACCGCCTCTGCTATAGGACGCTATCTTGCTGGCCCTGTTCTTCACTTACTTCCCATCCTGTCCTTGACTAGGAATGTGTTAAATGCTGCTCCCATATGATTCAGTTGGCTCTTGTCTTTTTGGTTGGTCCAGCCCCTGCTTCACCGCTCATGCTGCTTGAAGCAGGAGCGACTAGAGAAAGCAGGCATTTTAGCAGGCTTGTGTGCAGTTGATGACAGGCTTTTTACCTGCCTGATAAAAGCAGTCAGGAGATAGATCCATAGGTTTGATCCTTCACATCTGATACCAGGCGCTTATGGGAGCAAGGTTTAAAGGGTCCTGGTATGCTAAGTGAAAAATTAGTGAAGTTTAACTTCTGCCTTTTTTTCCTGCCTTTTAATCTAGATTTGCTTCTTCAGTATCCTACTTTGGGGTTTACTAGAAACATGCTTTGTCTGATTTTATTTAAAAACACCCAGTGGCAGAGTCATTTCACTATTGCACTGTGTGTTAAATAATGAATAATGAGTTTTCCGTACATGGCCAATAATACAGAACTTGAACATAAATAGCAATTGGATTATTCTCTTTCGTGATGGTTAAATTCAGTTGTGAACTTTGTAGTGAGGATGTTAGATTATTTGCCTAAATGGGTTTGTTCAGGTATCCATGTGGTAAAAGACCTATCAGTGTTTCCACCGTGCACTTCCATTTTTTAGGAATTTGTAATTTTAAGTCTTACATTCCTAGTAACATTTGGGCTTTCCTCAGGCTATGTTTCATGAAGAATGAGGGGGAGGGCACGTTTAAAACTTCAGCCTCAATTGTTTGTGTAAGTCTCTTTAATATATGAATCTGCACTAACATATCTGTGATATATGCACATATTTTAGAGGTAATCATGTCTTCTAGGTTACTTGTGTGCATTTGATTGGGCTTCTTGTTTAGAGTCCCTTTTAAAATTAATTCATTAGACTGAAAAATGTATTCTATATTTCTAATAGACTGGACAGAAGGATCTGTGTCCCCAAGTGAGACAGGCTCTGAATAACTTTTCTCCATTTTTGTCTTTTTTTTTTTTTTTTTTAAGAGACGGGGTTTCACCATGTTGGTCAGGCTGGTCTCGAACCGCTGATGTTGTGATCCACCCGCCTCGGCCTCCCAAAGTGCTGGGATTACAAATGTGAGCCACCGCGCTCAGCCTTGTTTTCTCCACTTTTTACTGATGATTTAAAACACTCTAGTCTTCCCCTCAAATCATGCATGCCTATAGGAGGACAGTGGCGGTGACTCAACTAGATACAGGTGCTCAATAGTCAGGCTTGACAGTGATGTTAGGACGTATTACAGGCTGTAAGCCGATACTGACTGGCCATTGGCACCACCCTTGACTAACCTTCCTCTTTTTTTCTAGTGTGCCTATGGTGAAATGGCAATAGCATTCACTGTCGCATTTTGCAGTGCTCAGGAAGTGGGATGTGAACTTTGAAGGTGCTTGTTTGTATTAGCTCTGCTAGGTTGACCTCTACAACGTAGATATCGGCAGCTATGCTGACTGACACTACACTCTAGTTCTTCAGGATTTTTTTCCAGATTCCCCCCCTTCCCCAGCTAGACATACGTAGCATACTTTCATCTTACTCAGTCTGTCTGTAACCTGCTGCTGCTTTTAGTCCTCAGACCGGAATCAGTGGAGTGGGCCCAGAGGATACGTTTTAATTTCGGTAGTGGTAGGTAGGTTTGTCCTGCTTTCTAAAACATCTCCCCATTTCATATCTCCACTCCACATTGATTCCATAAGGGAAAATTAATGGGCGTTTCCTCCTTTAGGGAGGTGATATAATGAGTGTGGACATCTTTTAATTTTGAGGAGGAGGAGTAGATTTCCCTTGAAGGAGCTTACATTGACTTTTTTCACAGCGACATGTTTGCCCCAGTTCAATCCTCAGTTTAATACTTATTCTTGGTACTGGCTCAAATAGCATTTTCTCATGGAAAACAAATCAAGAGTAAAATTTGAGGTTATAAACCAGTAAAGTTTTTAACTCTTGTGAATATGGTCAGCTAGACTGAACTTGACTTTTTTTTTTTTTAATGGTTTTTTTTTTTAATCTGTGAACATTCAAATAAGTGGATTTTCGAGTACTGGTTGGGGAAGGGAGTTGTGCTTTTCTTTGAACTTCAGTTTACAAGATGCTTTGAGAGTATTAGGCAAAAGCAAAAATAAGTATCAGGAGCAACGGGGAAAGCTTTACAAAAGATCATGGTGGCCGTCGTTGCAGCTCTGAAGACTTGAGGGCTGGTTTGAACAGTTCTTTGCCTGTATCATTGGTAGCTGCAATGAAAAAAAAAAAAACCTTTCACCTTAGGAATCTGAAAAGGAAGAAACCTGGGCTCTAGTTTTCATGGCATTTAGACTGAGATACTTAAATGGAGCAGAAGGAACTCATTTCCTGCCACAGGATAGGGAAAATGTAACAAGGTGGTTGCTCTTGAGGTTAGAAAATTGTCCAAAAATTTCTCTGTGGATGAAGCTGGATTTACTTGAAAATGGAGAGTTGGTTTATTGTTTGAATATTAGGACATCAAGCTATAGCCAAGTTTCAGTCGCAACCCATTTTCCCTTTGGGATAAATTCAGTACAACATGATTCTTTTTGAATTCGGAATCCGTAAATTACAATTTTTTTTTTTTTTTCAAATTCACAAAATTCACAGTGGTGCTGACTGTGTAATAACCACTATTGGGAAAAATCCCGTAAACCTGCCTGTTGCCATGCCAATGGAGTGACTGAACTGGTGACATCTGTTTGAGCATGCTTTGTGTGGCTGGTAGAATGCCACCATTGTGCATACACTTTGTACATCGGGTGAAGGGAGGGTTTTCTAGATTATGGGGGGAGGGTAAAATTGGGATTTTTTTTGGTTGTTTGTTCCTTTTTCGATGGGGTGTGGGGGTATAGTACTCAGCTTATGCCCTAAAAATGACATGTATAAAAACCCCTGAAGTATTGTGTGGGTGTGTATGTGTGAGTGTGTGTTTGTATACGTCTGGCAATTAAAGCTTTGTCTTCTGGAACTTAGTGAATTCTTTTCTCTTTTTCCTCCAGAAGTTTTTCTTACAAAATCTGTAAATAAGAGCTCTACTTAGTTTGTTTACCATGAACATGTTGCAGCAAACCTTACGCATCTAATTCCTACAAGGTTAAAGAAAGACTTTTAGACTTGCCAGGTTAGGTAACAGCCAAGTTCTCAGTAATTGTTTGCCTTGATTTACCTTTTAGACTTCATTTTGTCAACTCTAAAACTCCCAGTCTTCCTTGATTTTAGTCCTTAATCTTTTATGTTCTGAGCAGGAAGGGTAAAAGACAGGAACCTGCCTCACTGTATTAAACTAGTCCATAGGCTGAGACCAGGGCATCTCTTTCTTCATACTGCAATGTTGCTAGATACATGATCAGACAACAGAGGGTTGGGCATTCTTGCAATACCTTAACAGTGCTGAAATCTGCAGCATGGTACTAAGGAAGTTAAAGTTTGAATGTAACCACTTTATTTAAAAGGTTTTTTTTTCTTTAATTTAAATGAAATGGGGTTGAAGTGAACATGATTTTGTTGACCATGTTCGTGAATTATAGATGCAACATGCATTGGTAGAATCGTGTGATGGTCTTTTGTGATACTTAATTTTTACATATCCCAGTCTCTGTATGTATCTGCATAGACAAAGAAAAACAAACTCCTGCTTTGCTTTTATTGAAGGGTTTCCAGGACTGCGTGTCTGCTCCTGAGCTCTGTTTTAAGTATGTGTATCCTTTGCTTGTATTTTGTATTAAAAAAAAATAAGAAAAAGAACCCTTTATTGTTGAGCATGTTGGCACTGTCCCCTTTATTTTTTTCTCTTTTTGGGACATATGAAGCAAGTTATTCTTTTTCTGTATCTTTTTTTCTTTTGTAAACTTTTTTTTTGTTTTGTTTAAAAATGGCTTTATAAAAGGGCTTTTATAACCCAGATGTGTGCTCTGTGTACTTCTTGTAATACTTTAAAGCGAACACACTAACTTACACAGCTTTGTTCATCAGCTCCCAGTCCAGCCTGACTTTAGGGGGAACTTCCCTAATATGTTATTTAGAAAGACCATCCCTGTTGTTAGTAAAAGATAAGCAAGCATGTCTTGGTTCAAAAGTCAGTACCTCAGAGGATGGAATCAAGAGGCAGTGGACTTAACAATTTCTGATTAATTAAGGGAGCACTGGACTGGGTACGGAAGGATTCTTCATTAGTATTCTTTGGCATGTTTATATCCAAGGTTGTGAAGTGTTGTGGAGCTCAAAGTTCAACAATCGTATATAATAAAAGATAATGTTTATACCCACAAAACACACTTGCATTCCATTTCAAATACCCATTAGTAACTACACTGAATTTTGAATTAAAGAGTACTCCTTAGGTGGAGAACGTGGTACAAGATCCTTCTTTAGAACTGGGCTTAAATTTTTTTTTTCCATTTTTTTAATATTTTTTTGAGATAGAGTCTTGCTCTGTCACCTCAGCTGGAGTGCAGTGGTGTGATCTCAGCTTACCGCAACCTCCACCTCCCACGTTCAAGGGATTCTCCTGCCTCATCTTCCCAAGTAGCTCGGATTAAAGATGTGTGCCACTATGCCTAATTTTTTTTTTTTTTTTTTTTTTTTTTTTTTTTTTTTTTTTTTTTTTTTTTTCCTGCGACAGAGTCTTTCTTTGGCCAGGTTGGAGTACAGTGGACGGTCTCGGCTCAGGGCAACCTCCACCTTCCGGATTCAAGCAATTCTGCTTCAGCCTCCCAAGTAGCTGGGACTACAGGCACGCATCACCACGCCCAGCTAATTTTTGTATTTTTAATAGAGAAGAGGTTTCACCTTGTTGGTCAGGATGGACTCGATCTCTTGACCTCGTGATCCACCCACCTCAGCCTCCCAAAAGGCTGGGATTACAGGCATGAGCCACTGCACCCAGCCTAATTTTTGCATTTTTAGTAGAGACAGGGTTTCACTATGTTGGCCATGCTGGTCTTGAATTCCTAATCTCAGGTGATCTGCCCGCCTCAGCATCCCAAAGTGCTGGGATTATAGGCATGAGCCACCCCTCTCACCCATTGTTTTCTTTTTTTAGAGATGAGGGTCTTACTATTGTCTGGGCTGGTCTCAAATTCCTGGGCTTAAGATCCCTTAAGGGATCTTAAAGGATCCCCTCTTGCCTCAGCTTCCCCGATAACTCAGATCATGAGTAGCTGAGATTACAGGTGCAAGCACCCTGCCCACATACTTGTATTTCTTAATATAATGAGTTGTCTCAGGTTAAAGTTGACTTTGGATAAACATTGACCATCTACTT